TGATGATGATGATGATGATGATGATGATGATGATGATGATGATGATGATGATGATGATGATGATGATGATGGAGATGTTGTGTGCGCTTTAAAATTTCATCTACTGTTCGGTATCCGTGTTCCAAATAAGTAGGCCTCCTTTTTAGGCTATCCAGAGCAAGAGGAATAAGCATAGCATGCACAAACATAGTGATGCATTGTAGTTTTGGAAGAATCCACAGTTTTAGTCCGCGTTCTGTTATAAAAAAATCCTTCCCACCCCCACCTAATGAAAGAAGAAACTCCCAGTCGGTAACGCTAAATAACGATGTGCATAATCTAACTGAAAACGTATCAGAATACGATTTTTGGAAAGAGTTACACGTTCATTAAGAGAGCATGGTCGTCCATTCGCGAGCATTCGAAGGTGGATATTGAAGGAATCGATTCCCATATTCCAGGGAATATATTATTTAAAAAGGAAGCCAGGATATACCAACCGTGTATTGTGCTTGCAGATGTGGAACCTAATGTCGAAAGTGAAGCCATTCTGAATGAGATTATTTTAAAATCGATTGCAATCATCGGTTCAGTCGGGTTCCTATCAGTTGATTTGATTTTGCTGTACAAGCGTCAACATATACTGTCCTGGAGTTCGGCCCTCAATGGGATTAGTACAAACTCATGGCGGATAGCATTTACCAGTCACAATTAAAAGGAGATAAAGTGCTAAACAGACTTTTACATCAAAAAGTTGGAGTTACTTATTTGATATATCTACTGAGTAAAATATTCCAATGCAATGCAAAAGCATGTTCTGATCGAAATACCCACTCAGTAATGCAGTCACAGATCCCATGGTCACCTGCACCCGCACCGAAAACCCAAAATAAGTCGGCATAAACCAAAGGCTGCACTCGTGGATGAGTCACATAATCCCGTCCCGTCTGGCTACTTCCCGAGTGTGAACTCACCTTGGGCGAAACAGCTCAAAGGCGGTACCCATGGGGCCACGCTGACTTTCGTACAGGTCGGTGTGCACAGACAGGCTGCAAGCTGCATCTGACTTCTACCCCCGGGGCTATCCGCTGCTAGCGGTGTGGTTGAAGCCACATTGTACACCTGGATCAAATAGCGGCAATTCAGTTGCAGGCGGGTCAATTGTAATTCTCCAAATCGTACCATAGTTTCATTTGGTCCACCCCGACGCACCTGATTCAGATTGATCAAACCGGATTGGGTCCCGAATTCGTCTGCGGCCATTTGCATCAGGGTGACGAATTGCGACCCCCCGGTAGTGGACGATCGGCGAGAGCTCACTGACCCAATGCCATCTGTATCTGATTTTAAGGCTGTGCTGTGGGCTTGCAAGTTGGCTCGTGTCTCAATGCACACTTGTGGTGTCCAACGGATAATATATTGTAAGTTTTGTAGTTCTGTAGAATAACATTTGGAATGATGAAGCATTTAGTTGGGACTGGGTCACATTTACTACTGAGACAAATGTAGAAAAGACACTCAACTTTCACATGTTTGGAATATTCAAAAACAATCTCGTCAGCGTATCTGTGACACTCGACAAACAGCACTGACAGGTGTTTCATCCTTTTTGAAACTCATCACCATTTGCGCACCGACCGGGACTTGAACCGTGAAATATTGGGTTCAGGGCCGATCCCGGAGCGTATGCTTTGCGTGAACGGTTTAGTGATTCACAGTGTTCCGGTTTTTGGTTTACCCATTCGATGTCTCATGGTAACTTGACGGTTATCACACAATAGATTACACTGTAAACAAACAACAATTATTTACATGGGGAAACCGACGAACTTTTTGAAGTGAAACCTAATATTATATACACATGGTATACACATGGTAGTAAAATGGTTAAAATTATCACGATAGCGACCGAGAGGTTTTGATCTCGAACCCCAACACCGTCGTTCATCTTCTACATTCCCGTATATTCATAGACATCATTGCCATGACCACTTTCTGAAAGTTAACTGTGCATTTATACAAAAAAATGATGCACAAAATATTTCTACTTTTTTTCTATTTAAAAGCATATACGCAGTGCCATATGCCTGTGGAAAATTGAATGGATACTGCTGTGTCCCAGTTAAGTAGGTAAATAAACACGCAATGAACTGGGCAGCACATTTACTGTTGTAGGCACACATGCAACCGGTCTGTAGGCCGATGAGCAAGCAGGTGCGGGCAACACCTAAGAAGAAAGGAAGGCAGACCAACAAACGACTCAAGCATCAAACAACATCCGAATGTCGTCAAGCCGGTATTCAAACGGTCAGTGAATCCATCAGTGCGGACAGTTCAATACTAACAGCTGATTGGCTGGAGCTGATCGATATCGTAACAGAGTTAGTTCGCATGGTGTGAATGCGAACGTGTGTGGCAGCAGGCAGCATTTGTCAATCAATCAAGCAAGCAATCCACTCACAAGCACTCATGACAAACGTGTCAGTCAATTGTAGGCCGCAACAAATGCAACCCGAAAAAGTCACATTTTAAGCCTCTGCAGCAGTAGCAGCAGGATCAGCAGTTCGAGCAGTGGCATACTACGTGAAAGAACTGGTTATTCCCTTATCTCACGGAAGTTCATCGATAGGCAGAAAACTGTGACGATCAAATCTGATGTGATTTAATCTTTTCCCTAATTGTCATCACTCCGTCTTAGCTTTCGGTTCAGTTAACCCAAATAAAGTCGTTAACCATGCATGTATCTACTCCTCCTTTTCTCTAACTCTCCCTCTCTGACGCGCACGCGCGTTCTATCTCGTCGTAGCTGAACGACGGGAGAGTTACACGCAACATAAGACGTTCCGGTAGCCATTGTCACGCAATTGTGACTTCCGAACCCGGACAGACTGCACACTAGCAGTTTGAACTTGCAGCGTTGTCTGGTCTAATTCCCTAACGGAAGTTGAATAGCACTTGAGAAGGGTAGCTTCGTACGCTTGAAAAGCATTTCATTCCAACCAAATGAGAAAGTATGTGTGTGCCGGTGCGGGAGGGAAAAGGCCGTTCTCCATGTATGGGGTGAAATCATCAGGTGATTTGCAATAAAACTCAAAGAAAACAAAACGATTTCGAGAATAATGATTTTATTGTCTAATTCTGTAACTTAATTGAAATTTTATCTCAGTTATTAACATTTAACCGGTTGCATTTTGTTATTCTATCGAAAAAAAACTGAATGAGAAACGAATAAAGCGTTAGCGATGGTAATTTTTCTCAATACCTCACGCCAACATTATTATTTGAATTCGATGGAATTATATTTGTGATGATCAACAAAAGGCACTGAACAACTGTTTCGTCCCGTTTGGAACTCGCCAGTATTGCGTACTTTTTGCTCCCCTGACAGGATTGAATCTACGAACCTTGGGGTAGGGAATCAAAACTTTCAGCCTTGAGCTATTAGGCCGATGGTCATCGCCGTGTGCGAATGGCTTAATCAATTTAGACGGCAGCTGGTGTCTGTAAAACGATCAAATGAACTAATCCAAATATTCACCATCTAAACATTATATTTGGTCGCGTAGTGATATTATTATTATTATGGTGAAATTCTATCATCTTCGATGGGATTGCACTGAATCAGAGGTGCAACAGTATACATAAAACTCATTCTTCCAAACGTTCTCTGACTATTCCCATAACATTAATAATAAAGATTTTCTTGTACAAACTTTGATTTATGAGTAAAATAATTAAAAGTGGTTCCATTAACAGAGGCATGCGTGGCAATCTAACACAATGAACACTCATGATTCATTTCCATCGTTTGCAGAATCCTGTGTTTGCTGTTGCTATGGTCTCGATCCGATACCTATCGTTATGTGATTTCTTTCTTCTCAACCCCCTGATTTTATCCGAAAATTACGGACGTGACCAAGGTTTTGACAGACTACTGTTTTCCCGGTACCAGATTGTGGGAATGACGATTCTCTGTGCCGCTCCCCTCCNTGGTGCAACATACCAATTTTCTTTTGTCTGATCCGGACCACGAATAATCATTGTATACGTGACTTCCATGAATGGATCAGTTACGAAAAGCCCGAGTTGCTGATGGTTAAAGGGCAGAAACCGTGGAAAATATTCAGTTTTCAAAACCTTCCTCATATCGATTTCTCTAAAACGCCATTCATTCTCCCCCATTTCGTCTTTTACTTTCGCCCAACTGCGTTTCACAGACTATCCTTGGATTATTGACAGCCTATTATTTAAGCTGGTATCCCTTTTATACCATCGTTTCCTCCTCATGTTGGCGACTGCATCCACGCCGGACGCTTCTTTACTTCAGCTCACCTTCTTTTATTGTACAAATCCCAAATCAACCTCGTTCTTGAATACTGCAGTCACGCATGGGATAGGGCTTCTACTCTTTCCCATCTTGATCACGTGCGACGGAAGGCTATCCAGTTGATCGACAATCCTTCACTAACGTCCAGTCTGCGGTAACTAGCCCATCGTTGGGACACTGCTTCACTGTCCTTAATTACCGTTACCGCCCTTGTTTTAGTTTCTTCGGAGTTGGCCACGGTAGTTACCCCTCCTATGACCTTTACTCGCCCCTCCCATACACGGGTACTTACTCATACTTTATCAGATTTTGATCCCTATACTTCGGGATTATCTCCCTCTATCTTCTTTTCCCCCCGAAAACCAGCTCACTCTATGCATTGCCCTCATATCACAACCTTTCATTCTTGAAAAGCAGAAACAATAAATAGGATCTTACGGTAATGTTCCCCTGATCCCTATTTTACAGTATGCCTTTTAATATTAGGATTTGCCCTTTTACTGTATTTACATTATACGGAACAAAAAGGTTGATTTTCTTTTTCCATTCATCATGCAATTTATGGGTTTACCATAGGAATATTTAGTGAAATGAAATGCCAGGGGTACTGAACAGCCGTATCGACCGCGTTGGAACCGATCCGTAATGCCCAGTTTTTCTGACAATGTCAGAAATTATCCCGCGACTTGTCGAGCTGGATGTCGATGCCCTTGAGAAACACCCTCGGTGGTCGACATCGTGCGTACGTTATTTTTATAATGTTATTAGGCTATTCAACTTTGCATGCATAAGGTGCCGCGAACGGTTCATTGTATTCGGGAGTCAATCTCATCCAGCCACATTGTGCCCAGCTTATTTCTCACAGAAAAGCATCCATATGCAGTATTTAGCGCTCGTGAAATCGAGTGGGTTCATCCAGAGATAGACATGTCAATATTTCATTTACCGTTTAGATACAATTTTCTAAGGACGGTATTGTAGTGGATTGAATGATCAATCAAGTTCAATTGATAAGCAGTGGAATCTCATCAAATAAAAGTACGCTGTCGTATAATGCTGCTTCCAAAGTGTACCTATTCAGTAACTCATATACCGCCAAAATGTATCACATAGAAACGATTGTAACTACAAACATGCAAGTGAACTTACCCGCGTTAGACATGACGTTAAGATGAGCTGGCAAATCTCCTTTTGAAATTGGTTTGCTCAACTGCAGGCGGACACGAAGATCAGATCCGTCGTAGATGGCCGGATCGGTGTGCAATTGAAGGCGCGATTTCAGACCGCCTCCACTCGACTCGCGTTCAGTCACCGAAGGGAGGACTTCACTCTTACTTGTACCTTCACAAACACAAGCCATAGAGTGGTCTGGAGGGAACAGAAACAGAGTACGTGCATAGTAAACGTGTTATTAGGTTCACTGGTTGAAAGCAACGGGTCAGGAGATGATAACCCAACCTATTTAGTGTTCCACACGCGGTGTGAAAGTGCTCACTTAAGATTGGGTTATTTACACTGAAAATTGCACTTATATATTCAACATATGTTTGCGTCATATGTTGCGCTACCAATTACATTGCATTGAACNTTGAACAACACTACTATTGCTATAAATCCACAAGACAGTTCCAAAAAGCGGAGAGCTGCATGGTACAACCGTAACGGTATCGGTGAATTGGCATACATACAACAAAATTTCTGATTTGAAACGGGTCTTCAGAAGATCCACAACCACACAGAAAAATTAGTGGAACGGTCCGACGGTGGACACGCATTTCCCGTAGTTACCACATTGAACTCAGTAATTCGCTCGCTCTAAGAGGTCGTGTCCACTGTTGACCGTGGAGATACCGTTGGTACATCCAACCACCATGTCCGATTTCTCCCACCATATAGTCCCTTCTTCAATCCATTGGAAGAGGTCTTCAGTAAATTCAAACAGAGAGAGAGATTTTATTCTTTTAATTCCCTTATCATTTAGTACATTAAAAACTGGTTCACTGAAAACACTGAAGCAATACGAAATGTACCAAATGGTTTGACGATACGGTATCGTCTAAACGTACTCTAATCACTATGTGGTGCGGCATTTGATACCGTTACTACAGTCAACTGCGCGGCATACGATCGTCACACCTTCTCATTTATTAGTCAAGCTTTGCAATATGAAAATTTGTAAAATATAATTTTTTTCAAAATTCGTTGACCTCAAAATATACCGCTAGTTTTTTTGTTCTGACTCGCCTACAGCGGTGTGACCAAAGGTTGTACGTCGAGGCTAAAGGACTGCGGGTCGAGGCTAAAGGATTGCGGGTTTTGGCTAAAGCTTGATGGGAAAAGGTGTAGTAAAGAACGGGCAATTTCAGAAGAGAACACGAAGTGAACGAGGGCGGTAAGCGTACGAGTGCATCGGGCTCCAACAGAACTTTAGAAACCCCTTTGAGATCGATGCACGGTGATAAGTAAAACTAAAGAGTCAATCTTGGATATGAAGAATGCTGGGCCAATTCCGAGATATATCAATCATAATTAAAATTGGCCAAGTAATAATTTTAGGTTCATGCCGTTTTGTTTTTCTTGAAAACTTCTTGCTTCATCCACCTTTAGGATACCTGTTGCCCGTGACCAAACAATGGAGTGGTTCCCTCGATTAATTATTATTGTTTTTCTTTTTGGGAAATCCTCATTATGTGATGGATTTTCAGTTTGACGTTTGATGTATTCACTCACCAGGTATAGCAGTCTCCTCTGCCTCGTCGTATGGTCCGGATTGAGGACCAACGAGTGTTTGTGGCGGTTCACCTGGCCGGGAACTGGTTGTCCATTTCGACGGATCCGCACGAGCCGGATAACCGGAGCTGGTAGGCTGATGCAAATGACTGACTGGAGGAGTTTTGAGAAATAACTGACTCGGATCAGACCGCAGTTGCACTGTGCCCCAAGCGCTCATTGCAAGCACCTATGAAATGTGTATATGCGTATGCGAGAGAGGAGAAAATCGGAATTAACTGAAGCTGATAAATGCTCAAGAGGATGTGTATCTTCACGGTATGATGCCCAGATGAACGTGCAGGATACCGCTTTATTAGAGGAATAAATTCTCCTGCGGTAGATACATGGAAACATGTCTGACGATTGTGACCATATAACAAAAATCTCCCATGTAAATATAACCGGTAACCTGTTTTTTTACAATTAGTGGCTTAATCCACCTGATACATTTAACATCCCACAGTTTTACCAAAAAGATTACATCCGGAATCGGGTGATGTTCTGTGCTATCTAGAAAAGTACTAACCAGGTAAAACTCACCCGCGGTCTTGCATCTGGGCTACTAGGTTGCAGATAAAAGTAAACGTTCAAGGGAAAAGCAATTAGCTTAAATGTACCCGGACGGAGGGATGGTGGTTTTCTTCCCGCCTCTTGGTTGTTGCCAATAAAGGTTCAAAGAGAGCCGCATTCTAGGCTAGAGAACAATCATATCCCACTGGTAATTTTCTCAAACACACTTGAGTTATGTTCGATTCTACCGTGTGAAGAAGAATGTGAGGGGTACATAAAGTCTATCAGATTCACAAGCAAGCGGGCCGCTCGACGACGTCGTCAGTCCACACCGATTCCATTCAATCGTCTATTGTCTAAATCCGTCTATCCTTTTCGATTGTAATTCACTTGGACCGGAAAAGCCAGAAAAGTGTGATTTCCCCCAACATCGAGGCTGCACTGCTCACGCGATGCGTGACTGAAGAGAACCCACATGATCTTAGTGGGACCGATTGCGTACGTACTGTTGCACCCATCCAACC